GAGGGGAGAGAGGGGGCAGAGAGAGAGAGGGGAGCAGAGAGAGAGAGGGGGGCAGAGAGAGAGAGGGGGGCAGAGAGAGAGAAAGAGAGGATGATAATAATAATGAATAAATTTACACAAAAACGCGAACGATTTATTTATGGGAGAAGACAGTACAGATGAATGGGGGATAAATGGTGGGAAATAAGTGTTGGGGAGAAGGTGGTGTTGAGGAAGGGGTTTTGGGGAAGAGGTAATGAGGAAGAGGTGGTATTGGGGAAGAAGAGATGATGATGGGGAGGAGGAGGAGGAGGTGATGGTTGGGGGAGTAACCTGGACGCTTGTTTACCTGTATACCTGCCTTAATGACCAGTTTGGAAGGTGTAATAGGGTGCGAGAGACGGTGTGTGCGGTAAGGAAGTGTTTACCGCAGAAAGGTGTAATAGTTGGGAACATCCATCATCTTCCTGCAGTCAATCTTGTTGTTGGTTAAGAAATAATAGTTTCTTATAAGACGTTTAAAAAAATATTATATTGTTTATTTATTTATTTTTTAGCTAAGTGAATTTAAGATTTGTTTAACTCAGACTATTTGTGTATAATAAGGTTAAAAAAAAAAAGGTTATTCTTAATTATACATACATACATACCTACCCACCTACCTAATTATTTGGTTATAATTTTATGCACGTGAACAGTGTCCTAACCTAACCTAACCAATCAATTATAGACTGCAATTTCTCTCTCTCTCTCTCTCTCTGCAGTACTCACGTCATCACCGCCACACACCTGACCAACACCATAATATATAGGCTCTCTCGGGTCTGTCCACCAGCCTCAGGACGCCCACAACACTAGGGTCTTTAAGATACATTTTTGAGGTCTCTATCAACCCCTTTCTCTCCCCCACTTCCTTCCTCCCCTCCCTCCCCTACCCCCCCCTCCTCCCCCTCCCCTACTTCCTCCTCTTCTACTTCCCTCCTTCCCCCCCTACTCCCCCACTTCCTCCCTCCCCTTCACCCTCCTTCCCTTCCCTCCTCCCCTTCTAGCTTTCTCCTCCACTCCTATCTCCTCTTCCTTCTTGCCCTCCTCCCTTTTCCCTACCCTCCTCCTCCTTTGCTCCCCCTTCCATTCCACCAAACTACCTCCTTTTCTATCCCACCTCCCTCCCTCCCTTCATCAACCTCCCTCCTCCCTTCATCAACCTCCCTCCTCCCTTCATCAACCTCCCCCTACCTCCTCCATCAACCTCCCTCCTCCTCCCTCCATCAACCTCCTACCCTCCCTCCATCAACCTCCTCTCTCCTCCCTCCATCAACCTCCCCTCCTTCATCAACCTCCCCCTCCCTCCATCAACCCCCTACCTCCCTCCCTCTTCCCCAACCCCCACCCTCGACCTCCTTCTGAGAAACAGGACACTTGAGTTACACCAACACTAACACACAACACTTGAGTTACACCAACACTAACACAACACTTGAGTTACACCAACACTAACACAACACTTGAGTTACACCAACACTAACACAACACTTGAGTTACACCAACACTTTGAGTTACACCAACACTAACACAACACTGAGTTACAATCCAACACTCACTTTGAGTTACACCAACACTAACACAACACTTGAGTTACACCAACACTAACACAACACTTGAGTTACACCAACACTAACACAACACTTGAGTTACACCAACACTAACACAACACTTGAGTTACACCAACACTAACACAACACTTGAGTTACACCAACACTAACACAACACTTGAGTTACACCAACACTAACACAACACTTGAGTTACACCAACACTCTACCTTAACAAGATACATTCACTGACAACCTAACCTAGGAATCTTTCCATTAAACCTTCATTTTTAACCTAATTAGTGTCAAATACATCTACCTGGTTAAGGTAAATTCTCAGTATGTTTCTAATGTTATTTTTTCGATAATGTTTTGTGTTTTCTCGTAAGTTAATCCGTTAGTTACTTACATATGTCTTTATTTACGAGGAATGTTTATAGTAGGAACCTTTGTGGCTTGGGCGAGTGGCTGTCTGATGCAATCACCCAACATCCACGTTAAGTTCACAGCTAATTGAGTCCAGACTGTTGTGTTGTGTTGTGTGAAAGAGAAGGTTGTAAAGGCTTGTGTCACGAGGCCGTAAGAGCGACCATTAATAGGCATAGACTGTCAGCGGGTTTCTATGAATCCATTACCGCTCGCTGAGGACCCGGCGAGGTGAAAGCAGGTGAAACAAAGGTGTGACGGAGGTGGTAAGTGAACGGCTTTTGTTGTGGCATGAAGAGGGGCGGCGGCTGGCACCTGTGTCATGACGTGGGGCTGATGGCTGTGTCATGGTGACGTGTTATTCAGGGCACCAGCATCACTACACATACCTCCTGGTGCCTCACACTCTCTCCCTCTGTTCTTCCCTCCCTCCCTCCCTCCTTCCCTCCCTCCCTCCCTCCCTCCCTCCCTCCACTCCACTCATTATATAAAGTGGTATAAGTGGCGACTTTTTCTTTAATATATATGAAAATGTTCATAAGAGTAAAGAGAGATAGAAGATTAATGTGACTGTTTGTCCAGGTAGGTGAGAGTTAACAGCTCCTGGAGGGTCAACACATCAGGTCAGTGTTATATATCATTTGTTGTTTATGCACTTGTTAGTAAGTGTTGTGTCTGAGGTAAGTGAGTTCGTCGCCGTCACCTTCCCTGTTAAAGATCAGGATCACGTTTGGTGTATAAAGTCTCTCGGGGAAATGTTCTTGTTGCAGTCGTGTTCTAGAGAGTGACTTGTGTATATCAGTAACTATCAGCTACCAGAACTGTGTATTCCTTTACGCCATTATAGCGTGAGTCTGTAAGTCATTTAGCATCAGGTATCCTCCTCAAGCTGTCGTGTCGCCACCAAACGTCGGGTCCAGAGTGTATCACAATATGTCAAAGTTATTATTCATTGTTCACAATACGGGGTTAATTCTGGATCCAATAAGAGCGTGGTGACCCCTCCGTTGACAGACAGACAGACAGACAGACAGACATAAACAGGTTCTAATAACACAGACACAAAATGGATGAATAAAAATACATTATTTTTCCAAACAACATTTTATTCTCAGCATCACAAACAAACAAATTAAATCAATATATTCTTCCAATATTTCTACTAAAAGTTTGGATCACATGAAGATTAGCCCCCCTAGCTTATCTCATCTGATGATTACACACCTTAACAGTTAGGTTAGGTTAGGTTAGGTTATGCAGTCACCAGGTGTTATAATCTTCAGGTGGTCCCTTAACTTAGTATCTTATTGACTAGATTTTGAAGACATTAGCAAACATCAATGACAAATAATTCCCAAATGTTAAAAATTAACTTGAGGGGGGGCGTGGGGGGGGGGGGGGGGGGGGGGGAGGGGGAGTGGGGGAGGGGGAAGAAATATACTAAAACCCCAAATTATAAACACAAATCTTATTCTAAACATTGACCAAAACTTAAACATTAATTATAAAAGAGATAAATTATATAAACATTATAGTGAAGAGACTTAAATGGTTATTAAATATTTGTTATTTAGTGATGAAACAGATGTTGTGTTTAGTTAAAGGTCTTTGTTGTTGTTGTTGTTGTTGTATAATGAAATAAACATTATAACAAAGAAAAACTGAACACCTGAACAAAGAGCAATCAACCACAAGCAGGTAAACCCAAACAAAAACAACACAAACAAACAAACAAACAGGACATGGTAAACAATGTAAACAGTTCTTCAGACTGTCATGGCCGCTGTTATAGGTAGAGACTATAGTAGAGAGAGAGATACTGGGGTCTACACAGGACTACACTGGTCTACAGGGATACAAAAGGCTACACTGGGCTAGACTAGACTACACAGGTCTACATAAACCTCCACTAGGATGACTATCTCGGTCTAAACAAGACTACATGACTACACAGAGCTAGACAGACAGACAGACAGACAGACAGACAACAAGCAGATACCTCCGTGAACCAATAAACAGATAACATCAAGAGACAGGGAGATCAGATAGGTACAAGCATAACCCACACGCTAACATTCCTACCACACCCCACACACACCCTCACACACCTCCCTAAAGTGTGTTCCAATATCTCCAATGGTTGTTGCTATACCCTGTTATTAGATCAAAAGTGTATAATATTTATCGGGGACTTTGCCACACTTTAATACGGTGTGGGTGACTGAGGACCCTCCCTGGGGCACGCTCCTACGATGTGTTATGCTTGACAGTTAGTTTCTGTTTGGTATTATAATGATCAGGGAGTAGTTCTCTCTCTTCCCTCGTTGTTTTCTCTTCTCTATTTTCTTCTAGCTCTCTCTTTGTCCTTCTCCAGTTCCCTTACTCCCTCTTTCCCCCCCTCTTCTTTCTTCTCGTCCTGCCTCTCTTTCCCCCTTCTCATCTCATTCCTCCTCTTCCATTCCTCCATCTCTACCCCCCCCCTCACCTCGCCTCCTCCCCTGTTTTACAAATGTAACCACGTAAATAATTCTGTAAATATGATTCATATTTACAAATGTGAATCATAGTGTAAATCTAACTTACATTTACAAACATGAAATATATTTACAGATGTGACAGGTATTTACAAGCCTGACTTATCATACCTGTCTTCTTATTCATGTTTGTATCTGTTAAAACTCTCTCTCTCTGTTTCTTCATTTATCTTAATGCTTGTTCATTTCTTTTATCTCTTTAATCTGCTTTTTCTTTATCTGTTGGTCTGTCTGTACTTTTATATCTTCCTTTATATATTTTTATCTATGTATCTATCTTTATCCACCTACCTATCTCCCCCCCTCTCTCTCTCTCTCTCTCTCTCTCCTCTACAACACAGGCCGCCATGTAATCTTTCTCAGTAATAACAGGAAATAATTCTTTCGTTTGTCCACTTTGACCTGGGTATAGAGCAGCCCCGCCCCGCCCCACCCTGACCCACCCTGCCCCGTCCCACCCCACCCCACCCGCCGCAACCACCCCACCCTCACTGTAGTTCCTCCAGTCTCCGCGGTCCTAATATTGGGCGGGTTGGTATGGGTAGGGCGTAGACAGAATGGGTGGGATGTAGACAGAATGGGTGGTATGTAGACGGGGTGGCCAACGGGTGGAGGGACTGGACGGCGTGGCGTGGGTGAGGTGCAGCAGATAAAAGGTTTGACCGGGTGGAATGGGTGGCATGGGCGGGGTGGCGTGCGTGGGCGAGGCTGTAGGCAAAGTAGTCGTGTCATCGGTGATTGAGACAGAACGCATGAGGATCTCTCTTGTGTGACAGATGAGTCGTCCACACTACATCCTGACACGACATCACGACCCTCAACTATTTCTGGACATGGTCATGGTGTGGACATGTCTTAAACGTGTAGTGGACAGGTGATGGACAGTTATAAATGTGTCCTGCATAAGTTCTGGACAGATCGTGGATAGATGGTGAACAGATTTTAAACACATTGTGAAGGTAACCTGAATAAGTCATGAACTGCTTTTGAACACGTCTTGGAACGGTCATGAATAAGTCTCAAGCAGGCAGTGGACAAGTCGTAGACAGGTCATGGACAGGTCATGGACAGGTCATAGACATGTAGACAGGTCGTGGACATGATGGAGAAAGATCGTGGACATGGTGACAGGTCGTGGACATGATGGAGAAAGATCGTGGACATGGTGACAGGTCGTGGACAGATCGATGGGTGGAGTTAAGCGGGTCTCTTGTTACCTCCTCCGTGAGTCTCCCTGGAAAAAAACAAACATCTTATAGGACTTTCAGAATATTTGAAATTATTTATTCTGAACTTCAAAATCCTACAACAGCTCATAAATCCTTTTCAAACACCACTATGCTTCACAAGGAGGATTCGAACCCTTTCTTAGGAACACCATAGTTCATAATGCAGATTCGAACACCTCAAAAGATAATGAATCATGCATTGATATCATTATCATGCCTGAACCATAATCGAAGCATCGGTAAAGTTCATGAACCATAAATTAACAGCATAATGGTTCACAATTCGTGGTGTTTTTTTCTCCAGGTGCTTCGAGTAGCTCATGTAAGAGTTCTTGGGCTTCATAAACCATTCATTAACGCTCCATGGTTTAACTCACTGGTGGTTTATGAGTAAAAAAGAAACGTGTTTATGGTAACGGGTTTTATGTGACAATAATTCATGAACTATTTTTTGCAATCAGATTCTAGAACGAAGCCTTAAACTCAGCTGATCAATGACTCAAGTGTTCGTTTCATTATAAAAACAAACCAGTTCAGAAATATCACTTTGGTTCATAAGTCTCAACACAGAGTGACTTTATAATAATGCTTCAGGTTCATGATACAACGGTACATAAACATCATAAAATGTTTCATAAAGTTCATCAATAATACTTCGTAAAACTTCAGTACTTACATAATAACAAGAGCTACAGTCAGCGAGCCGATTACTGAAGCGTTTCGACTAGAGTTCGGAAAGGTTCACCAATAGAGACAATGAAATACCGAATCATCATTTAACTGGAACTATTAAATCCACTGCTTCATTAACTGTCTATTGGCTTCATATTTAAGGATTGTAAGATAAGCTTCAGAAGTTATGGCGGTTTGGCTTAAGGGTTTATTATTTTGGATGATTCGGAATGATTTGTCGAAACTTTAATGTATAATGTGTGTGTGTGTGTGTGTGTGTGTGTGTGTGTGTGTGTGTGTGTGTGTGTGTGTGTGTCTAAGCATTCACGAACCTTATATAGATATGTCTAAATATGGCTAGACTTATGTATATTTATTTAAACATATCTAAACACATTCATAAACATATATTCAAGTATAAGCACACATAAACGCATCTATGTACATGTAGAAATATGTAAACATTCTTAAAACATGTATATCTATTTAAATATTTATAACATCAATGAATACATATGTATTAAGCCATTAAGATATGTTTAGAAATATCGGAACATATATATTAAAAACGTACAGTAAACATTTAAACATTATACTGGTCCACCTACAACATCTCAACATTTAGTAGCATAATAACTGATGACTAACACAACACAACATTATACGGACAGACAGACAGACAGATGGATGGACAGACAGACAGACAGACAGACAGATGTAAGAACAGCCAGGGAGACAAAGGGACAGACAGACGAATAGACAGTTAGAGGGACATAATAATTATGTGACCGTTCCTAAGTACTATAAAATAACCTGTGTTTACTAAGTGCGGGAGGCTTATTAAGTGTGGCTTAACGTAGACCAGACCAGACCAGACCAGACCAGACCTAACCGAACCGAGATTCAGGTTTCGGTGTTCAGGTTAGGGATTTTCGGGATTCGGTGAAAAGGCTATATGGGATTCTGGGTTAGGTGTTGAGGTTGAGGATTCGGGGTTCGTGATTCGGGATTCGTGTATAGTGGTTCGGTCATGAGCATCAGACGTGGTCGTCACACACACCACACTCACATTAGCCTTTTTCTAAAACTATATCAAAGTGTTTCCAAAAAATGTCTCCAAAAATCACTTAAATGTTTTCGTGGGGACCGATTTTCCTCACACATCAACAAGTGAGGATAGCAACATTGTCCTAAAACATCAACAAGTGAGGATAGCAACATTGTCCTAAAACATCAACAAGTGATGATAATGTTGTTGGTATAATAAGACATTCACGTCATCTGTCAGGTCGTGTGTGCACCCTGTAGATGAGGGAATATTTCTACCTTGACAAAATAACATTGAAATTGAATTGATATTTTCTCTTAACTCGACAAATCTCTTGGTGGTAAACGAAGAAAAATTAACAAGAAAAATTTTAAATTTTTTTGGCTAGATTATGTTGTTAGGCTAAGTTAGGTAAGGTTATGGAGGGAGAGGTGAGGAGAGAGTAGGGAGTAGGGAGAGGAGAGAGTAAGGAGAGGAGAGAGGAGGGACTAGTAAGAGTATGGACAGGAGAGAGTAGAGAGAGGTAAGAGTAGGGAGGTAAGAGGCGTCTCCTTGACCCCGGCTCACAGGTCAGACAGGTAAGGTAAGCGAGGCAGGAAGGTGTGACTGATAACCACGTCTTCAGGTGGTCATAAGCCCACCAAATTGATTAACATAATTCAGGACAAAAAAATTGGTAAATCTTCCTCTTGTGTGACGGCAGCCCACGTGACTGATGCTTCATGTGGTCGCTTCCGTCTCTTGTTTAGTTATACAGCTAAACAATTATGGCGCCTTACCTGTGCATTCTGAGGTGCTCTGAGCGACGGAAGGTGCGGCCACAGACAGGACAGGTGAGGGGTGTGTGGGTCCTCTCGTGCACCAGCAGGAGGTAGGCGCGGGGGAAGCGCCTCTCACACACACGACACACGTACGACCTCCCGCCCTCACGCCTCGACCGTCGACAAACGCGCCCCCCCTCCACCACGGCTATGGCGCCGACCGTCAGCCCCGCCGTCGTGCTCGCTCGTGGAGCAACTCCTCCTCCCTGAGGCGTTGAAGGAGGTCCAGGCAAGTTCTCAGTCACACTGTCCAGCGCCCAGGGCTCCTGCGGCTGTAGGAGGGTAGTGTGGGGCCAGCAATCAGGTCCCACATCCCGCTCTGAACCCAGCGCCGCCTTACACCACCCGCCCAATTCCAAGAGTTTGTGTGAAGTCATCTTAAAACTGGCTTTTTTCCTTTTTTTTTTGGTTGCTTTATGTCATCCTCTTGGCCAGGGTGAGTCTCTATTTATAGTCCATCAGGATGAACTCACACTTCAGGACACACTCGCACCTCAACAACACCCAGGATACACTTAGTAGAGTGTGAGGTACACGCACACTTGCACCCCTACTAACATATGGGATAGGAGCGTCAGCCGTAGGAACTGAGGAGGTCTCTGGCAGGAGTTGAGGCAGCAGCGCTTGGATCCTACTGGGGTACTAGGGAGGATCGAGGACTTTTGAACCTGAGGACGTCCCGGGTAGGAGATGACAGGCGAGGGGTAGGATGTGGACAGGGTCGCCGTGGTGACCAGAGAGGAGGGGAGGGAAGGACTGGCGGGGCAGGGACGTGTGTGTGTGTGCGCCCTGAGTCCTGACCCCCTCCCCCCCCCCCAGCCTGGCCCTCCCTGCTGACGTAACTACCCACACCCTTGTCGGCACTCACACAGACACTCCTCTTCATACATACACACACTCACATGCACACAAGCACATTCGCGTACACACACACACACACACACACACACACACACACACACACACACCCTTTACCACAAACAAACGATTAGTGGCACTATTCACCCATCCACCAACCACACATTATCTACAGGCGAGTAGCCCACGTCTTCCATATACACATTTTCACCTTTTCCTCGACACAACATTAAGACCTTCTCAGTGTCGCACCTTAAAGAGTCAACCACACGAAATACGTCGCTGTGAGTCAACCTGTCTCATTACCTGGTGGCTCTACAGGTATACGTCTTACCTGTGCTGGAGAGAATGGGGGAGAGAAGGGTGAGGTGTTAAGTTAACGTATCTTGTTAAATGAGAATCTCGGTTTAATTTTGACAGACAGACAGACAGACCTTATGAGTTCTATAGATCAGAGTCGTGTGGGTGTTGGAGTCATAGCCAACCACCCCGCCCACCTCTACCCACTCCACCCACTTTACACAACCACCGCCCACAACCGCCATATTATATCTACGCCACCACCACCATTGTCCACCCCAACATCACCGCCCACACCTTCACCGCCCACCCACACTGCTCACTGCCACCCACCGACACCCACCCCACCCACACATCATCAATTGGGCTCAGTTATATAATTAATCTAGTACAGTAACCTACTTTCCCGACTGACAAACTGATAAGACTCCCCCCGTGAAGGATATATTAAACACGTCTCATTCTCGAGGCTGCCGGAAGGTGACGCCACTGCTGCAGCTTTTGTCAGGCGAGTTGAGGTCAGGTCAGGTCAGGTGGAGTGATCGGAGGTGTTCAGATCGAAGGCTCGAACTGTGGGAAATGAACCGTGTGAGATAAATAAGGAATTAAGTAATACGTAGATAAATAAGGAAATAAGAGGATGTGAGAGTGTGAGGATGGAGGGGTGAGAGAAAGAGGGGGAGGAAGGGTGAGAGGATGGGGGTGAGAAGAGGAAGGAGAAAAGATGGAGGGAATAGAGGTGAGAAGAGGGGGGGGATGGAGAAGACGGGTGAGAGGATGGAGGGGTGAGAAGAGTAGGGGAGAGGACGTAGGAGTCAGAGGATGGAGGGGTGAGGGGCGGCGCCTTTCATGTCAGAATGTAAACACAACGTCGAGGTCCCCAGTTTGCCCAGGGCCGCCCCGCCCAACCTTCCTGTGTTGAGCAGGTCAATATTGGCACTCACGAACGCCTGCCCGCCCGCCCCTCCACGCTTTTCGCCCCCCACACACGCCTTCCATCCCCCCACACACGCCTTCCGTCCCCCCCACCTCCCTCCCCACACGCCTCCTTCCCCCCACGCCTTCCCCCCACGCCTTGCCCCCCCAACACACGCCTTCCGCCCCCCACACACGACTTCCGCCTGCCCCTCCTCACCGAGACAGCCTTCCACGCTCTCCTCCTCTCCATATCCCCTGCCCTCCACGCCCTCTGGTGCAAAGATTCCATTCATCATCATCATCATCATCGTTGTTGTTGTCATTAGATGTACTGCAAATGTCACCTTTTTACATTACGTGTAGGTTAAGTTAGATCACCAAACTGCCCTTAGTAAGGTCAAGACACAGGCCTTAGTAAGGTCATGACCCAACACCTAATAAGGGTGAGGGCAGCCTGGCGCCAGGTGAGTAAGACAGGTGAGTAAGTAATTATCTCTGGCTGTCATGACGGAGACCGATGACTGGAGGAGGAGGAGATGAATGAAGGAAGAGCGGGAGGGAGGGAGGGAGGGAGGGAGGGAAGGAGGGAGGGAGAGAAACATTGAAAGATTAGGTTAGGTTGTATTTGGGTGGAGTGCGTGTAGGGTGTATGGTTAGAGTGCGTGAGTGTACAGGGTGAGAATGAGAGCCGACAGGCATCCTTCGTGTGTGGTCCGCTATATACGTTTGTGTGTGTGTGACGTATGTAACTAATGCCTTTGTGGGATGTGTAGTTGGTGTCTGTGTGTGGATGAATGGCTCATGTGTGTGTGTGGGTGGGTGGGCGGGCGGGCGGGCGGGCGGTTGAATAAATAGCTTTAATGTGGGTGGCATGTGAATATGTGTAGTTGATGTGTGGGTGGCGTGTTTGGGTGTACAGTCGGCATATACAAACACACAAGAAGAAGAAAAGCCTCGTGTGCTTGCTTACTACCACCCACGCCATCCACCACCCATCCACCCCTACCACCCACGCCATCCACCACCCATCCACCCCTCACCCACGCCATCCACCACCCATCCACCCCCTACCACCCACGCCATCCACCACCCATCCACCCCTACCACCCACGCCATCCACCACCCATCCACCCCTACCACCCACGCCATCCACCACCCATCCACCCCTGCCACCCCCACCGTACATACCTGGAGAAGCGACCACCCTGCCCGCTGTCCAGGTGAGATGTACAGATAACGCGATAAGCCGCGTTGATAAGACCCTCACCAGCGTTGCAGAGAATATATGACAAGGTTAGGACAATGCCAGGCTGAGACAAGGGCGCCCGCTATCCACGCTGCCCGGGCCCCAGCGACACGCATGATAATGGTCAATTAAGACTAATTAAGAACTAATAGGGCGGGCTGCTTACTGATGGAGAGGCTGATAAGAGACGGCGCCGAGGCCTCATCTCATCCACCTCTCACCATCTTGTGTAAACACGAGAGAGAGAGAGAGAGAGAGAGAGAGAGAGAGAGAGAGAGAGTCCACCTCCAAGTGTATAGAAATAATAACAACGACGTCGTTTAGCCAATCAGAGTTAATTTATACCACCCAACTCCGCTTGCTCGACCAATTAGGAGAGAGAATACACTTGGCCCCTTCTTGAGCGTGTGGATCACCTTAAGCGCTTGAGACGCGTTTAGGAATATGGAGTTGAGTGGAAAGGTGTTGCAGCCTTCCCTCTGGTCAATTGTTATATTAGATAGCGGAAAATTGGTCAGATTAGAGAGAGCTAGAGAGACGGTACATCAACGGTACACGTTGTACCGTGGTACATCAACGGTACACGTTGTACCGTGGTACATCAACGGTACACGTTGTACCGTGGTACATCAACGGTACACGTTGTACCGTGGTACATCAACAGTACACGTTGTACCGTGGTACATCAACAGTACACGTTGTACCGTGGTACATCAACAGTACACGTTGTACCGTGGTACATCAACAGTACACGTTGTACCGTGGTACATCAACGGTACACGTTGTACCGTGGTACATCAACGGTACACGTTGTACCGTGGTACATCAACGGTACACGTTATCTGTGCACCCTCACTGTGTGTGACCTACCAGGTGCACCCTCACTGTGTGTGACCTACCAGGTGCACCCTCACTGTGTGTGACCTACCAGGTGCACCCTCACTGTGTGTGACCTACCAGGTGCACCCTCACTGTGTGTGACCTACCAGGTGCACCCTCACTGTGTGTGACCTACCGGGTGCACCCTCACTGTGTGTGACCTACCGGGTGCACCCTCACTGTGTGTGACCTACCAGGTGCACCCTCACTGTGTGTGACCTACCAGGTGCACCCTCACTGTGTGTGTGACCTACCAGGTGCACCCTCACTGTGTGTGACCTACCAGTGCACCCTCACTGTGTGTATACCAGGTGCACCCTCACTGTGTGTGAGACCTACCAGGTGCACCCTCACTGTGTGTACCAGGTGCACCCTCACTCATGACCTACCAGGTGCACCCTCACTGTGTGTGACCTACCAGACCAGTGTGCACCCTCACTGTGTGTGACCTACCAGGTGCCCTCACTGTGTGTGACCTACCAGGTGCACCCTCACTGTGTGTGACCTACCAGGTGCACCCTCACTTGTGTGACCTACCAGGTGCACCCTCACTGTGTGTGACCTACCGGCACCCTCACTTGTGTGTGTGAGCTGGTGCCTACCAGGTGCACCCTCACTGGCTGTGTGTGACCTACTCACTGTGTGTGTGACCTCAGGTGCACCCTGTGTGTGACCTACCAGGTGCACCCTCACTGTGTGTGACCTACCAGGTGCACCCTCACTGTGTGTGACCTCACACACCAGGTGCACCTCACTGTGTGTGACCTGGTGCACCTCACTGTGTGACCTACCAGGTGCACCCTCACTGTGTGTGACCCACCCTCACTGTGTGTGACCTACCAGGTGCACCCTCACTGTGTGTGACCCTCACTGTGTGTGACCTACCAGGTGCACCCTCACTGTGTGTGACCTACCAGGTGCACCCACCTCACTGTGTGACCTACCAGGTGCACCTCACTGTGTGTGACCTGCACACCTGCTGTGTGAGTGCACCCCTCACTGTGTGTGTGACCTACCAGGTGCACCTCACTGTGTGTGACCTACCAGGTGCACCCTCACTGTGTGTGACCTACCAGGTGCACCCTCACTGTGTGTGACCTACAGTGCACCACTCACTGTGTGTGACCTACCAGGTGCACCCCTCACTGTGTGTGTACCTACCAGGTGCACCCTCACTGTGTGTGACCTACCAGGTGCACCCTCACTGTGTGTGACCTACAGTGTGCACAGGTACACCCTCACATGTGTGACCTCCAGGTACCCACCACAGGTGCACCTCACTGTGTGTGACCTACCAGGTGCACCCTCATGTCTGGACCTACCAGGTGCCTCACTGTGTGACCTACCAGGTGCACCCTCACTGTGTGTGACCTACCAGGTGCACCCTCACTGTGTGTGACCTACCAGGTGCACCCTCACTGTGTGTGACCTACTGCAGGTGCACCCCTCACTGTGTGTGAGGGCACAAATCTACTTACACCGGGCAGTCATCTTAATATTTGACGCCCCAGCTGATATCACCTCCCTCTCCCACCCATCACCTCCCTCCCTCACCCCCCACCCATCCCCTCCCT